GGAATACAATATATATTTATATATATTTAAAAAAATTCACCTGGACCAAGAGTAACATACCCTTGATTCAAGTTGCATAGGACATGACCACTCCATATGAGCATGAACAAACCCTTCTATGGTCACAATAATGTTCTTGGGGTGTAGCAAGTTTCCAAAATAGTTACTTTCTTCATGCTACAATCATGACTTCCAACATCAACCATCACAATAAATACCAATTATTAATTAGATCTTACCTTTTAGCATAAAATGATTGCTATACCACCAAGAACATGTTTAAACTAATCCATCATTTCACATACAAATACCAGAGCTTTATTTGCTCACTAGCCAAAAAAACCCACTCTTTATAATAATCCAGTGATTTGTCATATATAGCACTTATTTAAAAAAAGAACTGTAAACGGTATGGAAAAAACTTCAGCCTACTTTGCACACTTCAGATAAACTGTAATTTATTGGTGAGTACATTCTACATTAATTTAAAGATGTTTAAAAAACATAAAACAAAACTAAAAATGAAAGGTTTCTCAATGTTTAGAAAAACCCAAGTCTACCTTGAACCAAAATTTAAACACATATCCCAAGAGTCCAGTAACCATGCCTTGCTTGCTTCAAAGGTCAAAATGGGGTGAAATAAAAAACAAGGGGCCCACCCATTATAGTGGGAATTAGATACTGCAGCTGGTGATTTAGAACTTCCCCCGTAAGATGTAATGTCTCCAGAACTAGGGGGGTTTGATGGGGGAACTGATAAAAAACTTAACCAAGGAATATACTGATCCTATAACAAAAGAAATAGCCATGCAGACAAATACATATAACCCATGGAACCAGTTGGATAATCTTTAGACCAAATGCCTGATTGCATAACAGATTTGCTTCTTTCTGTAACCAAATTGCAAGGAGTTTGGTTATGGAATTTTGAAGGTTGTGCTAGAAAGACTTCTAAGGACAACAATGCTTGTGCAAAAACAGTCAATAGGTCACAAGCAATCAATCAACAAAGAAAGGGAACAAATCGATTAATCAAAAACAAAAGGGAGACCATGTTTAGCTGTAATGTACAAGTGGGTTTTTGTAATGATTTCTGAGCAACAATCACTATCTTCTTTTCTTTCACTCAATGTCACCAAACAAGACCAAGAAAGTCAGAAGGAATAAATCTCTCTCACTTTCCTGGGCCCATTCGAAAACCCGGACACCACATTAAACAAACGAAACTGTCTCTGTACAACATTATCACTTTATTCAGATGACTTATCAGCCTTTAAAAGTGAAAGGGCTCATTGGATGAATGGTCATTTTTACCCCTCCCATCCACTTCTAACTCAGCATCTGGTTAGTTAAGTCCACACGGCTCCTCACAATGGGCCCGGGCCCAAGTGTTCCAACAAGCCTAGCAAACCACCCACTGGCATTTAGCTCCAGGACTGGTATGTATCCTGGTACCACTGCTGGTCCCCGCCCGAATTGTAGCCGCCGCCATTCATGCCTGCCAGCCCATACGCATTGCCCAGCGGCTGTTGGGCGAGGGGCTGATTCCCCCAGCTGCTCTGGTAGCGACGTTTAGATTCCCCCTGGTTCTGGTGACCCCCGTCAAACTTGCGCTTACCTGCTGTAAACACAGGACACACACACGTGAACCATTAGTCAAACCAATCCCACCACCAACCTCTCCTAGTAAATTACTACAAATACTATCAACTTATGACACACAATATAATATTCTTAATGGTCACCATTAAGCAAAATTCTAGCACAAATACAGTTACAGATTTATGCATTCTCAAAGTTTAAAATGACAGAAGTTGTCATATCCAGCATCCCAAACAAATGCACACCTACCATGCAATTTTACATCCATGTTAGAGAACATCCTAGTATAATTTCTTCTTCATGACAGTATCTGCACTTACCATATAGATGTTAGTAGCAAGCAAGTGGATGTTTTGGAGCAACTATTTATGCCGTAAAATGGACACACACCTTAAAAAACTTTATTAAACTAAGTCCACTTCCCACAAGATCTATGGACTGAAAACCAATTAAAACCACACTGAACCAAGCCACACCAATTTTTGAACATTTCCACACAACACTTTAATGTTTGACTCCACAATCATCAAACACACACATGAATACATTCAACCCTACACAGTTTCTTCCATTCAGACCCCCTATTTCTTCACACTGCAAAATACAGCCAAACCAAACATATGTATATGTAAAAATGCACTTACATGCATAACAAATGAACAAGGACAAGTCACTTTTTATAACAGGTAAGAGCGTTCATGACAAATGTGAAATAGAAAAATTTTGTTTTTAACAAACCCTCTTAAAGGATAGTACCAGACTCCAATATTTTAAAATGGTCTGAATGGTAACCACAATCACACAGACTCAGTAATATCTCTTCCATGCACCTGTAAATGTGCATTCACAGAATCATTAAGAAACAAAAACACAATTTCACGTAACAGGGACTTTGAGCCTTGTTAACATACACCAACAATTAAAATGTCACTTCACAATTTTCATCATATTAAAACACAGTATTTGTGAACTAGAATAGAAACCTGTCCACTCACATATATTTCAAAATACAGCTAACTTTACTGTAGAACAGAGTTAAACACTTTGAGAATGAACAGTTTAGGTAAAAATGAACATACTGTGCATCAGCAAAAATTCAGTCTTCCAATATCAGAATGAATATTTGTTCACACTTGCAATTTCCTCACATATTTTTAAGTGAATGACAGTTTTTACATCAGCCCAACCATTCACCAGAAGCTTAACTTTAATCAACCATGCACCACGTTCACACCATTAACTGTAAACCATGGAGTTGAAGTCTGTCCAGCAGTCTTGTAGGATAGGAATTGAATGTTAAAAGTTAAAAGTTCAAATCGCTAATATCAGAGCTATTCTTGTAGCCTTCTCTCTCATTACTGTTCTGCTGACTGGTAAATTTTGATAATACACTGCTTCAAACTACTGTAATACATTCTTCACACTTCATCACGTGGAGAAGCGTAAGTGTCCATTAACTTATTTCACTTGTATCTGCTTTTCAGTTCTACTCAAATCACACACTTAATTTTTCATTATGCTGCAGAAAGATGACAGTGCAATATCAAATTTGCACACAATTTCTATTGCTGGGATGTTTCAGCCCCCCCCCCCACTTCAAAGACACTTTTAATTGTAATCACATGCTTCTTCATTTCCATGGCCATAATTACCAAGGATTTTAAGAAAATAGTAAGAAACAGTAATGACAAAATTTACTACCATGCACAATTACTCAGCCACCTTAGCTTAGAATCAGTGCAATTATAATGCCAGTAACAGCACGTATTTAGTGCATGTTCAATTACACATCACTTGCCAAATATTATGGCTGTGTGGAAAGAATTCCCAGATCAAACATAAACATAAACTGTTATCGCCACTAAGGTTCTCTGTAAGATTGAACATTTCTTATACAGAATGCAGGGCATCCACTAAACTAAAATTAACAAACATGTAAAACAATATTGTTTATATTGGTCTTCCGCTGGTACAAAAAAATCATGACAGAATTTCACTAAATGCAGGGACACTAAACTGAGATTTTACCGTATTAGATTACGATTTGCAGGGCAGCAGCACTTGGTCTACTTCTAGAGAAAAGATCACATTTCTTTCAGACTCCATCTGAACATCAATGCACCATACATTGTGTGATTTACATTAAAATTAGAAACCAAACTTCAGCATAAAAAATTACTTTAAATACTGACCAAAAAGCAAGGTAACCAACTGAACTCACAAGCATCTGAAATCTCCCCACCCCACATAACATTAAAGTGGGCACACATATACCTCAAAAGCTATCAATTTGTATGCAAAGGGGCAGTTTCCACAGTTACTACGGTTCAAACACAGTTTAGTTTTCCCATACACAATATAAAAACTAATTAATTGTAACACTTCCATAGCAACACTCCTCTCCTTACCTGAAGAGTTCACTGACAAAAAATATCAAGGGCACAACATGACTACAGCCAATGTTATGACTGTACATGATAACTTCATAAATGTAAAACATGACCTCCCCAAAACAAAAATCATGCAACAAAACTTCCAACACGCTCAGGAAAGCAGTCCACGAAAGGAAAAAAAAAAAAGACTAGTGATGGGACAGTCAACTATTGTACGGTCATTATCATGCACAGTGCCCATTTCAGGCCCCTTCACAAACTGTATAATTCTGATAAGCGACACAACCTCAATTATGCAACGTATTTCCATAAAAGTAACTCAAATACCAAACTGATCAGTTATAACATCAAAAGGGTTAACAGAATACTTACCAAAATAAGGGCCATAAAAGCACGTGAGTAAAACCTATAACTCGTTACACAGTGCCAAATGCAAAGTAACCATCTTTTTGAATGTGAACTGAAAATGCAACTGTAACAATGAACCCTAATAAATGACTCTGCACCTATGTACACCACCCAAGGAAAACTAAATATAACAGGTTTCCTCAAAATAAGTTATTAACATTCACAATGTTCTTGTTCAATGGCATTCATAACCTATATACTCCAAATGCAAGACAACTGTGAACTACACCTATCTCTACAGAATTGGACATAATGTCCACTCAAACCCCCCACCCCCCAATATCCAGAACATAGATAATTGCACTATCAAATTCATAACAATGCTGTCCTGGTAAACCACATGACACAGTAAATTTTCATTCACAAGTCAGTCTTCCCACGTTATTCTGTTGGTCCATACTTGGCAAGTGTTCTATTCTCATCCCACCGTCAATTTAAATTTGCCCTTCAAAAACAGTCATGGAAAACAGATTTTCATATACACATGTGTTTCTCAATTACATTCACAAAAACTTCTTCCACTCAATTTTATCAGTTTGAGCAACATGCACATTTCACCAATGCAGCAATATCAAAACTTCCCCTGACCCATTTAGACCAAAACATCCTTAAACTACCTCAATCATTAATCACCACCTGTGCATATTACAAACCTGGTTGCAAGGTTGTATCGCTTTTCCTACATGCTAAAGAGGTGAGTGAAAGGAGGTGAAGATACAGACCATCCTCACCTGGTAAACTTCCCTTGGCGCGGGCCCCCCCACGCGCGGGTGCTCGACCCCCCCCACGGGCCGCGGAGGCT